TGGGCAACACAGGTGCCCAGAGCTTTTGAGCGGGAGTTCTGAGAAGACAGCCTGAAGACAGCTTGCAGGATTTTTACATAGGATGTGGCTATCAGTCCTATGTCCAATGTCATGACTGAAAGGGCCACAAACATCCCATACACTCTGTTAACATGGGTGTTGGCACTGGCTAGCTTTACTACAGCCATGTGTTCACAGTAGGTATGATCAATGACATATTTCAGACAGTAAGGCAGCCTCTTAATGAGAAGAGGACATGGTAAAACCATCACCGTAGCTCGGGCCAAACCAACAAGACCAATTTTAATCACCATTGATGTTGTCAGAATAGTTGTATACTGCAGCGGGATGCAAATGGCTACATAGCGATCAAAAGCCATGGCAACCAAGATGCTTGACTCAATAATGCAAAGCGTGTGGATAAAATACATTTGCATTAGGCAGACATCAAAATCAATCCAGTGTGCATCAAACCAGAAGATTGCAAGCATCTTGAGAGCTGGGGAAATGACAAGGCCCATGTCATTCATGGCCAGCATGCAAAGGAAGAAATACATGGGCTGGTGGAGGCTTGGTTCTAGCGTAACAGTAGTAATGATCATAGTGTTCCCCAATAAGGTCAGGGCCAAGAGCAGGCAGACAGGAATGCCAATCCAGCTGTGAAACTCTTGCAATCCAGGAATACCAACCAGGAAGAAAGAGGAAATGGGGTGATGTGTGGCATTTTCTGCCATGTTTAAGAAATACGTATTATGATGTAGCCATAATAGTCACCTATGGATGTAAGACAACATTACAATACTATAAACAAATGAGAGACTCCACCAAGAGACTGATTACAGACTAGACACAAGGTGGACACAAGATCCCCCAAATAAATCAGTTCTTTTTTCTACTTAATTTTAAAAAGTTTTCCTTATTCATTATTCTTATTTTAGTCTTTTATTATTCTTTGTTTTCTCTTTTCCTTTTGGTGCCTTTCCTTTTTTTGCTTTACTTAATTGCTCTTGTTCATCCCCAGATACATACCTGTCTTTGATTATTAGGCCTTATACTTCATTGTGTGTATACTTAATTCAGACATCATTTACTTGATTTGCAATTTCACAACATTAGTTCCTTTAATTGTAGTATTATTTCTTTATACTTATATAATTTTAATATATATTTTTTATTGTAAAGGTACTGTACAAAGGTGTTACAGTTATGTGAGTAGGGTAATGAGTACATTTCCTATGGAGCACTGTTACCTCCTCCTTTGTTTTCCCCTACCATCCCTTCTCTCCCCACCTCCTCAACTTTCTCCACCCCCCCAAAGCTGTAAAGTTCATTTTCAACATAGTGTCTTGTACATCTCATTGTTAACAGTGGGTCAACCTGTATCCTTATTTCAGTATTTTGGTATTTCCCTTCCCCTCCCCAAATTAGAAAAATGCATATACAAGATGCAGGGCACCAGAATCAAATACAGTGAAAACAGGGATTATACCATGGGGGAAGAACATACAAAAGAAACAAAAAAATTACACAGTATATTATATACTTATATATTTTTTTAATTTTTTATTTCTTTTACTATTTTCCTTTCTCTAACTTATTTCTCCTTTCTTTCTCTCCTTTTCCTCTCACTTAATTTAGGTCTTAATTATCTTCCCTTTCTCCCTTTCCCTCCCTACATTCTTCTAATCTTATTTTCTCCTCAAAATTCTTCCTATACCTATTAATTTCTGGTTCTCCCAACTCCTTCTTTGGTTTTCTTAGTTCATGGATTTCTAGTGGTTTGTTGTTGAACTAGATTGTATCAGTACTACTTTTGACTACATCAAAAGTCTGTGCAACTACAGAGCTCTGTTGTTGATGTTTGACTTAAAATAGTGTTCTGGCACAGAACTGGGTTTGCTTTCATACCCAAATGGGCAGAACAAGCAAGAAAAACACAAGAAAAATGGAAAGTCTAAGAACCTCAACTTCCTTCATGATGATCAGGCAACAGTACACGTAATGCATAATCCAGAGGAGAGTTCACAAAATGCACTACAAACACTACTGGTAAACATGAATGAAAGGATTGAAAGCCCACAAAAGCGTCTGTGTGAGTGTGACAGGGCAATGCATGAGCATGATGAGGCTAACCAAAGATTAATAGAGGAATTGCATGAACATGATGAGAATAACCTAAGATTAATAGAGGGATTCATTGAATCCACAAAAAGAAAAGTTCAGGAATCTATGGAGGTCACAAATGGAAAGTTGAATGAGTTCCAACAGAAGGAAAGGGAATCCAATGAAAATATAACAACCCAACTAAGGGATTTGAGAGTGAACATTGAAAGCCAAATCAAGGAGGTAATGAAGTCCATACCAGACCTAAAACAAAAGATCTGACAAAGGAATTAAGCCAACAGATCTGACCAATTGGAAGGAAAGGAAATGAAAAACAAAGTAGAGAGTCTTGACATTAGGTTAGACAATGCAGAAGATCGAATCTCTGGGATTGAAGTTAGCCTAGACATGATAGAGAGAGAACAGACAAGTATTCAAGAGAAATCCAAGAAATATGATAAATCCATCCAACAGAGAGAAGACACCATCAGAAGGCCTAATTTAAGGCTAATGGGCATAGAGGAGGGCCTAGAGATGGAGCTAAAGGTCTAGGAAACTTATTTAACAGAATTCTAGCAGGGAACTTTCAAACATACAAAAAGATATGTCCATTCAGATACAAGAAGCCTTTAGAACCCCAAATAGACCAGACCAGAACATGACATCCCACCATTAGATTATAATCCACACAGGATCAATAGAGACCAAGAAAAGGATACTTAAAATTGTCAGGAAGTAAAAATCAATCATCTATGAAGAAAAATCAATCAGAATAATGAAGGAAAACCAATCAGAATAACTACAGATTTCTCAGCAGAGACCATGAAAGCAAGAAGAGCCTGGAATGATGTATGCCATGCACAAAAGACAAACAACTATCAACCAAGAATACTGTACCCAGCTAAACTCTCCATAACACAGGGCATATAAAAACCTTCCACAGCTGGAGGTGAGGGGGAAGATGGCAGAGGAAAAACTGGAGGCTAAACAAGCTCTTGCATAGAAAGCAGTTTTAGTGTTCCAGTGAACAGTCCTAAGCCAGAGAATCACACCAAGTGTGCCATCACAGTACAGAGTTAGGCCAGAGAGGGAAAATCAGGCAAGGAGACAAATCTGAGCACTTGTCAGCAGCCGCAGCTGTGGCTGCAGAGGCAGCGGCCGTAGCTGCCATACCTGCAACACTTTGGCAAAGTAGCAGGGTATAAAATTAAACCTCAAAAATAAATGGCTTTTCTGTATGCCAACAATGAGAAAAGTGGGGCTGAAATTAGGAAAGCAACTCCATTCTTAATAGCCCCACAAAAAATAAAATATCTAGGAATTATGTTAACCAAAGAAGTGAAAGACCTCTTTGATGAAAACTTTAAAAACTTGAAAAAGGAAATCAAAACAGAACTTAGAAAGTGGCAAAAACTCCCATGCTCCTGGATTGGAAAGATCAACATTGTGAAAATGGCAATACTTCCCAAGGCTATCTACAAATTCAATGTGATACCTATCAAAATTCCAACCAATCCAAAAATTCATATGGAACAATAAAAGACCCTGAAGAGCAAAAAAACGATCCTCAACAGAAAGAATAGTGCTGGAGGAATATCAATACCAAATTTCAAACTCTACTATAAAGCCATAGTAATCAAAACAGCTTGGTACTGGCACAAGAAGAGATCTCAGGACCA